GAGCAAAAGGGCTGGCAGAATCACTCTGGACCCCTCACATCCAGCACACTCCCTCTTTGAACTGTTGCCATCTGGTCGATGCTACAGAGCTCTGAGCACCAGAACGACCAGACACAGGAACAGTTTCTTTCCCTCAGGCAATCCATCTCATGAACACTTAACAATAACTGTGGAACACACACACTATTTATTCACTCATACACTTATTTATCTAACACTCATACTCGGTCTACACCTCAAATTTGCACATAATATACCTGTACATACAAAACTGTCTACTGTAAAATACCTGCACATACAATTGTCAATTTATATATTTTTATTCCTTATTTAATTGTTCTATTTTTTTATTATCTGTGTTTTTTTGTTCTGTCGCTGTCATTCTGTTACACTGTGGAAGCTTCTGTCAAGAAAACAAATTCCTCGTATGTGTAAACATACCTGGCAATAAAGCTCATTCTGATTCTGATTCTAAATTTTGTGAATACATCATTTTTCAAAATGTCTGTCTCTACTAAACCTACCATTTTTTTTTAACAAGGTCAACATAAGATAAACAAACATCACATGACCTAAATATTTCACTCAACTCTGCACCAACGTTCATTGAAACATGACTTCCTGTTGCTGCATTTTACTGTCTGTGTGAATATCCCATAACAAGTGATGTATTGTTATTTATCCAGCTGCTCTATATTGTGTATTTACCTCCCGGGTCCTTGTCTGGATTGTACTCTAACGCATTGCTGCAAATGAGGTCAATGTCCACTAGAAAATCCTTGGCGACCATGTATTTGTGAGTGTCGATCTTCATCATGATGGAGGACAGGTCCATAGGCTGTTTGATAACCTCGAGGTAGTCTGAAACCTAAATCAGAAAAATACACAAACACATTTCACAAAAAAATAAAAAAAATTTATAAATTAGATTTTTTTTTGTAAAAACAAATTTTTTGGTAAAAATGTATATACGTTTATTTATATTATATACAACATACACACACACACACACACACACACACACACACATATATATATATATATATATATATATAAAACATTCTGTAACATTCTGTAGTTTTGTCTTATATTCATCTTTTATCATATTTGCAGATGTCTTGACTCCACAGTCCATATATATATATATATATATATAAACACATACATACACACACACACACACACATATATATATATACACACACTACTGTTCGAACGTTTGAGGTCAGTACGATTTTGCTTTGAAAGAAATTTAGCAAGGAATTGCTCTAAAGTGACAGTAACAACATTTATAATGTTACATTTACTTAAAAAAAGCTGTTCTTTTGAACTTTTTATTCATCAAGCAATCCTGAAAAAAATTTATAGTGGTTTCTACAAAATAAATAAAAAATTGAGTTGCACAACTGTTCTCAAAATTAATAAGAAATGTTTCTTGAGCAGCAAATCAGCACATTAGAATGATTTCTGAAGAATCGTGTGACAATATTTCACAATATTACTGTTTTACTGTATTTTTGACCAAATAAATTCAGCATTGGTGAGCAGAAAATACTTTCAAAAACATTCAAAATCTTACTGAGCCCAAACTGTTGATTAGTAATATACAATATATATTTAAATATTCTAATATATATAATATTTGTGTATATTTTCGAAAACTGTCATTCCTGTATTGTGAGGAATATGACTTACATAATTTATATAAATATATCCCTTTACTCACATCACAGTAATGAAAATGTAAGAGAAATCCTCCTTAATGATAAGATGTTTTGCATTGTAACATTATTTCCAAGATAATTTTGCAAAACAATATGAATCGGGATCCATAGGACATGCTCTTGATTCGTAATATGAAGACTTTGTGAGCTTCACCATACAACAAACTCAAAAAGCTTCAAGAGATCAGGGCGAAAATGTGTCGTACTCTGTATTCACAGACACACCATCCTCCTTGTTTGCTGATGAACTTTTTAATTGCCTTCTCAAATTTACTGATTCAGGTAACGATCCTGCCCGCAAGCTGTCATATAATGACAATCATTTGATTTGTTTGGTCTGGGGGTTGCTAATAAACCATAGGTGTCTCTAATTAGATGGTAATATTGAATAGAGTACAGACCCTACAGGCATTAATCATACAGCTGCTGACTTGCAGTAACAGCCCACCTCCTCAATGTCCACAGGTTTGCTGAAGATCTGAAAGCGCTTGTCGGTGGCGAGCCGCTTTGTGACGTCCCTGAGAAAGAGGCGGAGCTCGCGCAAGGTGTTCTCCTCCTGCTCCTCCAGTCGCCGCTGCTCCTCTGGTGAGAGCTGCCGAGGGCCGGGGTCTTCAGCGAGGGTCAGCACCTCCAGAGCGCTCGCTGAAAACACAAAAACAGGCACAAACCCTAAGTATAGTACTTAACTACAATCATGAGGAAATAGACAGTTCTGATATAATTATTTTTCAGTACTTCTAAAGGAGTAAGTAAAAAAATAACTTTGACTGATTTATAACCCAAACGATCTTTGTATTGCCTTTTGAATTGTTTTCAATATTTATGCACTTCCTCTGGAAAGAGTGATTTTCCCCCCCCAATGAGAGGAACAAGTCAACAAAAACTAGTAAAAGTCTAATTAAAATGAATCAATACATGTTTTCTATACTAAACAGACACAAGGTTGAATTTATTGCATCTGCAGTTAAAAAAAACTGATTTTTTTTGCAAGAAACGCACAATAATACAGATCAATATTTAACTAAATATATTTAATATTAATTAAATTCATAAATACAAAATCACAGACTGCTAAAAACTTCTTTATATGGAACCAATCAAATTAAGAGTTTAAAATTAATTTGATGAAAAAAAAAAAAACACTCTCCAAGATCACAAAAGTAGTCTTCTGACAAGATCTTTAGGAAATGTAAGGGTCAAATTAAAAAAACAACTACTACTACTTTATTGCAATGTTCATGAATTACATCACAAGAAATAAAATCAAGACGTACACACACAAACAAAAAAAATTATAATTAATTAATTATCTTATGCTCACCAAGGTTGCATTTATTTGATCAAAAATACAGTAAAACAAATTAAAATAGGTTTCCTATTTGAAAATATTTTCAAATGCAAATGATTCATTTGCATCATTACTCCAGTCATCAGTGTCACAATCCTTTTGAAATCATTTTAATATGCTAATTTGCAACTCAATAATCATTTCTTATTATGTATATTTATTCTTTTTATCTTATGTTGACAACAGCTGTGCTGCTTAATATTTTTGAGGAAACGGTAATACGTTTTTTCAGGATTCTTTGATGAATAGAAAGTTTAAAAGAACAGCATTTATTTGGAATACAAATCTTTTGTAACATTAAATGTCTTTACTGTCACCATGCAATGAGGGTATCTGACCATATTTACTGTGTAGCTTAGATTTCAACACAATTTCATTGTTCACGGTGCTTGGCCCAGATAATTGCTGCCTGCAGCTGCATTTATTCTAGTACAGATTAAGAAAGTTGGTAAAGAAATCTTACAAAGGTAAAAAAGTTTAAATAACAAAAAAGGGGATTTAACACTTCTAAAACAGTGTTCTACCTCCAGTCAAGAACAGATACATCTATACTTCTGCATTAACCACGGTAAACACTTACCGGTTTTCCTCCTGCGGGGTGGTGCCTAGTGTGGGGAATATTAAAGTCACAATGGTAATAAATGACATCAACATCCAGTCAGACTATACCGTCTGACACCCTAGACAGACCGAAGGTAGAGACATAAGGCACTTTAACATACGCCTTTTACATGCTAATCGCCTCATTAGTGCCCAAGCACAAAGTGTGTGTAGCCTCTATCATTCTTCTTTTTCTTGCTGAGAGTCTATGGTAGTCACTGTAATCGTCCTGTGAAGTTTTTTCTTGTAACTTTTCCATAACTTGGTTGCAAATCTCTGGTCTGGTCTCTATGAATTCCTATTATGTACTGAGTCATATGTAATACAAGATATTTTGAAAATTTTTGAAACAAAAATAAAATATCACCACCATGCAATGAGGGTATCTGACCATATTTACTGTGTAGCTTAGATTTCAACACAATTTCATTGTTCACGGTGCTTGGCCCAGATAATTGCTGCCTGCAGCTGCATTTACTCTAGTACAGATTAAGAAAGTTGGTAAAGAAATCTTACAAAGGTAAAAAAGTTTAAATAACAAAAAAGGGGATTTAACACTTATAAAACAGTGTTCTACCTCCAGTCAAGAACAGATAAATCTATACTTTTGCATTAACCACGGTAAACACTTACCGGTTTTCCTCAGTCTTGCAAAGGTAAAAAAGTTTAAATAACAAAAGACGGGAGTTGACACTTCAAAAACGGTGTTCTACTTCCAGTCAGGACCAGATAAATCTATACTTCTGCATTAACCACAATAAACACTTACCTGTTTTCCTCCTGCGGGGTGGCGCCTTGGCTGCCTGCACCAAAATGAGGTCTGAAAAAAACTTCCTGCGTGCTTCTTCTCCCGGCATGCTTAAACAAACCACCTCCCCGTAAGAACGGCTGAAGATGCATGTTAGCTGTTAAAAGAAAAACAGCAAACATTTAGAAACAAAAAAAAACACTTACATATGCTTTTCAACAACAAAAATTACTCAATAACTGATCTCAAATTTCAGGTCAATCACATGATGCCAATTAGTTTTTCAAACCACCTCCCCGTAAGAACGGCTGAAGATGCATGTTAGCTGTTAAAAGAAAAACAGCAAACATTTAGAAACAAAAAAAACACTTACATATGCTTTTCAACAACAAAAATTACTCAATAACTGATCTCAAATTTCAGGTCAATCACATGATGCCAATTAGTTTTTCAAACACTACATAAGTTAATTAATACCAGCCCGGGGTCGTCACATGTGGTTGCCGCAAGCCTCCTTTGTCGATTACGCCAGCCGCTGTGTGTTTTGTTGTGAAAGTGAAACTACTTTGTTTGGCCTTCTAAAAGAGGACGATATCCGCTTCCTCATGCATGGAGCTGATCCGTGCTGGTCGCTGAGGAAAAACATCAGCTTCGCACTGTCAATCGCCGGATCGACTTTCACTGTGGATGAAGCGGAGTCCAGCCCGGGGTCGTCACATGTGGTTGCCGCAAGCCTCCTTTGTCGATTACGCCAGCCGCTGTGTGTTTTGTTGTGAAAGTGAAACTACTTTGTTTGGCCTTCTAAAAGAGGACGATATCCGCTTCCTCATGCATGGAGCTGATCCGTGCTGGTCGCTGAGGAAAAACATCAGCTTCGCACTGTCAATCGCCGGATCGACTTTCACTGTGGATGAAGCGGAGTCCAGCCCGGGGTCGTCACATGTGGTTGCCGCAAGCCTCCTTTGTCGATTACGCCAGCCGCTGTGTGTTTTGTTGTGAAAGTGAAACTACTTTGTTTAGCCTTCCAAAATAGGACATAATGTTTCTATAAAGTGGGGCAACTTTGCAAGGACAGTCTGGCGCTTCTGACTCACAGCCTGTAAGTAAGTTTTTTTATATTTAAAGTATTTGCCACTGATGAGTCAAATGAGACTTTGAGCAGTGTAGAGTAGCGCTTATTGTTTGTCATTTCTCCGATCACAAATGCAGACATGGTTTTATGTTTACGCAGCGCAATACGCAACGCAAAGCGTAAAAACACAGTATAAGTCATTATAATCAGTAATTATGTCCCCACTGGATGCAACAAATGCCTTGTTTGTAATGGCTTTTATTGGTTTTGTCTCGTCGCACCGGACACATGGAAACCATAGACTGTATGATGGAAACACAGTATGGTAAGGGGCGTAACATTTCCGTCACACGCTTGAGGTATTCGGCCAATCACAACGCACTGGATAGCTGGCCAATCAGAGCACACCTCGCTTTTCAGACCGATGAGCTTTGTAAAAATCGACACGTTTCAGAAAGGCGGGGCATAGAGGAGCAACAATAATGTACAATATGTGGAAAATAATGTTTTTTTAACCTTAAACCGCATAAACGCATTGCATTACACCAAATACACCAAATAATGTTCTTTTTAGCAACATCATGACCCCTTTAACACACCCTTTATATGATTAAAATGTTTTTAGATTCCAAATTTTTGAATACAAATAAATAAATATATATACATATATATATATATGTATGTGTGTGTGTGTGTGTGTGAGAGAGAGAGACCCTCTCTGTGAAATCCAGGCTAAAGTCTTAAAATCTAGTTATGAGATGGCCTTCTAAAAGAGGACGATATCCGCTTCCTCATGCATGGAGCTGATCCGTGCTGGTCGCTGAGGAAAAACATCAACGTCGCCGGATCGACTTTCACTGTGGATGAAGCGGAGTCCAGCCCGGGGTCGTCACATGTGGTTGCCGCAAGCCTCCTTTGTCGATTACGCCAGCCGCTGTGTGTTTTGTTGTGAAAGTGAAACTACTTTGTTTAGCCTTCCAAAATAGGACATAATGTTTCTATAAAGTGGGGCAACTTTGCAAGGACAGTCTGGCGCTTCTGACTCACAGCCTGTAAGTAAGTTTTTTTATATTTAAAGTATTTGCCACTGATGAGTCAAATGAGACATGGCCATACTCAGTCGATATTAAAGATATCAAGGTTACATTTTCACAGAATGTTCTTTATCTTACGAAGGATGGTTTTACATAGAAAACAGTAAATCACCAAAAAATGCCTTTTGCTGGGTTTTCACAGCCAGGGTCACACACATACACGCATACAGACACACACACACACAAACACACACACACACACACACACAAGCTTTAAGTTAAGCATCAAAAACAGTGACTCATGAATTCAACATATATACAAACTGTGAGAACATCTGCCATGAAAATCACACTCAAAATCACCCATACTGCTCTTCAAATGCTGCCAACCAGCAGGGATCAAATCCCTGGGACTCCACTAAAAAGCATCACACATCTCGCAAAAAAGTGAACCAGCCAACATGCAAACTCATTTAAAACTTGTGTTGAACCCTGTCAATTTGGTTTTCCCACAGCATTCTTTGTTCTTTTGTGTAACACTTTTTTTTTTCTCGTTTCTACCCCGAAAGCACAGTGCATGACGGACTTTGACTCTCGAAAATATTCTCCCGGCATGAAGCATTGTTCTGCTCAGCTTGAACTATGAAAAGAAAGTTTGTTGGTAAACATACAGTATTCATAGGGTAAAACCCAAAGCAGGAAGAAAATCAAACCAATGTGATGTGTGAACATGTCAGATATTTTTTTAAATGTTACCATAAATAATTTGGCATAATCATATTATTATATGTCGTCATATACTTATTATATTATACATACATACACTATAATCATATATACATACATACATATACACATATATATATATATATATAGACATACATGGACCGAGAGAGAGAGAGAGATACATATGGGTTAAAACATAGGGATTGAACAACATGTTTTATGCATAATTTCCCTCTGTTTTTATGGCTATTTAACAATCAGAATAGGGTTACAACTTCGTATTAAATCAGCCAATGATTGTCTCTAATTTTAGGGGTAGTTGTTAAAATTCAGCTCTAGGACCAACAAAACATGGTGTTCCAGCAACACATCCTACTTGACAAAATCATGGCTGCCGTCAGTCAGCCAATTAGAAGAGCAGGATAACAAAAGGTTTTAACGAAGAGTGATTTGACGGAACATAATGAAAGGATGAAGAAGAAATGTGATGATGCACGCATCCTTCCCGACAGCCAAAGACTCGTGCATGAAGAGAAAACCTGAAAATAATGACCAGTGTCTGGTGCACATGGTCACAGGTGTCATTGAAGAGAGTGTTTTAACGAGCAGTTTCATATTGCTACATTCAACTCTAATTTCACATTGTAAAGTGTGCTGTGCCGGTCCAATTACTGAAGTCTGAGAGCTTTTTTTTCTATACTGAATCAGCAGTTAAAACTGCACTATAAGTTCATGTACGTTTCTTCAAGGCTGCAGCAATCAGGACAAATGAATTCAGGTAAAGGCCAAAGACTCCTAAATATCGTAAAGCTCTCATATCTAAGCGCAAACTGAGTCACTTTAAGAAGTCTCCAGGGCTCCCCAAATATTACAAGGCGGCGACAAATTTAGGAGAGAATTTCTCCATAATGAGGATCCGCAGAGCACTTTAAGTTCAATTTCCAATCATGAGCGGGTGTTGAAGATCCAAACAATCCCTCATCAACTGCATTATTTTATGTCTTTGTCCCCTCTTGGCAGACTTGTTTCCACTCAGGTTGCTTTCAGGCTTTTTTGGTCCAAACTCTTGAGGCGAGATGAAGGGAAGCAAAGCAAGTAGCCCACAAAAGAGCCAGGTAGTGATTTTATGATTGGTCTCAGAGCTGATGGAAGCCTTGGAGACTAATGCAGATTCTGAGAGGAAGAGAGCCGAGAGACTAAATAGGCCTTTCAACTCGCCAGAGAACAAGGCATCCTGAGGAAATGTGGAAATCAAAAACACATTTCTCGTCTCTTCCTGTCATTCTCTTATTGACGCACGTTTCATCTTCACTTCAAATGAACAACAAGCAGATAAGAAACTGATAAATAATACAGTTGGGATTTGCAAACCGGTGTGATATCTGAATTTAAAGTCAACATCAAAGGACATGTGCAATGAAATTTACTTTCATAATGCAACATTTTCATGATGTTAAATGTGAATAAACAATTAAGAGGTCAAATTAAGTTGTGCCATATAAATACACTTTTAAAAAAAGTCATTTCAAACCATGGTGTCAACTTTGGACGACCCCAGGAAAAAAATGCCCCACTGATTCCAACTTAAATGGATATTTAATTCAAAAATGAAAATGCTGTCATTATTTACTCACCCTCATGTCATACAAAAAACCTATGTGACTGACTTTCTTCTGTGGAAGACATTTTGAAAAATGTCTTTTGTCCAAACAATAAAAGTCAATGAGATGCAACGTAATGTGGACGCCAACGTTCTCCAAAATATCTTCTTTTGTCAGGCGAATTAAGAAGTTTGAAACAACATTTTTGGGTAGAATTTCCCTTTAAACATCATAGTATTCACACTTTGGAGAAATCGGCATACAAATTGGTCATCTATACACTGCAAAAATCCTATTTTTAATTAATATTTTAGTCTAATTTTCCAGTTAAAATACAAAAAAAAAATGCTTGAAACAAGAAAAATGTATTTTGTGAAAAAAGTGGAAAAAAAACTGTGCTGGAGCAATAAGGTGAAATATAATTATATTGATGATATAATCTCCAACACTGAATCTTAGCATCTTTCAGTACTGCATCTCAAGTACATTTATCTTGTTTCAAGGATTTTTTGATATTTCAACTGGAAAATTAGACAAAAAAAAAA